CACACCCACTTACACCCACACACACCCACACACACCCACACACACCCACACACTCCCACACACACCCACACCCACACACTTCCACACACACAGTCATACTTTCTATTCCATTCCAAGTGTTTTCTCTGTGTTGCCCAGTGTCAGTCTTCTACTTCTTTCTCGTGTGCTTGTGTCTAAGTGAGCACCTTTAAGGTGTGCCAAACAGTCAGTGCCAGTTTGCATGGAATGCCCGCAGCACCATCAGAGGGGCTGCTGTCTTCAGGATGCCTGTGTGCCTATGTGTTCCCCCGTGAGGACAGGCATTCTTCAAAGTGACCCCCTGGCTCCGATGGTGGTGTGAATGGGTGATGATGCTCTGGTCGGTGTTGTATGTCTGAGAAATGCCTTGTCCGTGTTGTCCTGCTGCCTTGCTGCTCATCTGCTTGTCTTGTCTTTCCATGCTGCTTGCCTGTTTGTCTTATGTTGCGATGTCACTCTGCTGCTTTGCCTACAGCTGCCTGCTCACCTGCCTTGTTGCCTGATATGAAGGTTAGAAATGGGGCTACTCTGGTACACGAGATCAAGCATCCCTTCAATGAGCATTGGCGACAAGCGTTCATTACTCTGCGGACAGTGGCATATGCAAAGGAGTATTATCTCTTTCTACAGAACAAGAGATTTCTTTGGAGGGAGATATGGCCTTACACCCAGATCAGCAAGCCTGGAGCAAGTGCAGGAGGTGCAGCAGGAAACACTAGATGTGCCGATCTCAGCGGAAGAAGTGAGGAAGGCAATCATGGAGAAGGGGTTCCACGAAGGTCGGCCAGATATTGCAGAAGGTTTGGCACAGGGCAGGGGAAGGGGTTCCATTACCCCTCGTTAGGCTGTGGAGCCGCTTCTCTGCACCAAAGCCCTCATTAGGTTGTGAGACACTTGCACAAACCACACAGGAGAGTGGGTTCCATGAAGGTCAGCTAGATATTTCAGAGGGCTTGGCAAAGAGTGGTGGAAGGGGTGGGTGCAGAGAAGGGGTTCCATCACCCCTCAGTAGGATCAGTAGGTTGTGAGACGCTTGTGCCAACCAGACAAGATTACATGTTGTGCCCCAACCACTACATCTAATCAGTCACTCTTTCGTTGTTTCATAAGTCAACCTCATCCACTAACGTATTTCCCCGAATACTACACCCAGTTACTGTGGCTGTATTTATTGCACCGTTCACCTGTTGTGTTCGGAGGAAGAAGGCGAGGAGTGAGGCTCGATGCTGTGGCATCCACTGCAATGACCCGGGTTCAAATCCAGCACAGAAACATGCATCCAAAGTCTGAGTCAAGGCTAAGCATGAGAAATAGGACTGTAGGGTCCCAAAGTCCGTCAGAATGGCCCGCAATCCTACAGACAGACTATGGTCTAGTCCTTATCTTAGTCAAAGCTCTTTGGAATGAAGACACCTACACAGTCAAAGGATGGGGTAAAACCAGAGGGTGAAAGTCTAAAGTACAAAGCTTTTGACCCAGCAGAGTTCAGGGGTAAACAGTTTTGGTCCTACGTACTCTCATAAGTCTCTAGAACTGATATGAAACCCGTACAGAGATGCTTAGGGGTCGTAAACTTTGGACAGGTAAAAGTTATAGGGTCCAAAAGTCACTTCCCTGACTCTAAGAGGCACTAGAATGTCCCTTGGTGAATAGGTATTGGGTCAAGGGTGAAAATGAAGCACCTCAGGCCTCTTGATTCACAAGTGGACTCTAGGAAAGTCAACAGTCAAGCCCGACCAGGGCCCAGAAATCGAAGAGTCAAAGATTTCCCAGGAGTCAACCGCGGCCACATATTTCACACAACCCCCCAAAGGCTCAGTGCAGTTTCTAGAAGTTTCTAAGGCCCACTGGGTCCAGGCACACACTGGTCCCGAGCAAATCTGGGCCACATATTGGGAAATCTCAGCCCTTCGAGGAGGCAAATGGAGGCACGCCAGGCCGAGCAAGCACTATAAAAGGGTGGTCTGCACCAGTTCATGGATTCATTCTGCCTTCCGTTTCTGCAGTGCACATTCTACAGTGTGTGGCCACAGTGACGCGCTACAGTGATGTGCTACAGTGACACGGTACAGTGCGCTGCTATACAGTGAGTGCTAGAGAAGGCAGTCAGAGAGAGAGGCTGCCATAACTAGAAGGGCAGAGAGTGGTAGCCATAGCCTGAAGAAGGTGCTGATGCACCATAGCTACCAGAGAGAGAACAGGGGAGATCTGAGGTAGAGTCCAAGGCTTGGGGTGAAGAGGAAGCTTACCTGGAGAGAATGCCAACCCGGAGTGTTCAGCCATAGCTGCTGCAGAGAAGACCAGTGGTTGCATGCGCCCCACATTCTTCATCCAAGCCTCAGAGGGGGTGTTATGGACTAGAGCTTGCCTGACGCCACAAAAATGAGGGTCACAGCGGAGATAGGAAGAACGAGATAACCATTGGACAGGAGTTGGGAAGCAAGCCTAGGAAGCTTACCTGTTGACTGGCGGCCATACCTACCCATGGAAGAAGATTCCAAGAGGAGGGAGACCAGCGTTCGTCATCCAGCACTTCATCCTGTTGGTGCTTGTGCTATACAGAGAGTGTGGCACTTGTGCTTGACTAAGTAAGATCAGGGGATGAGAGATAAGCTCACCATAGCTTCAGGCAGGCAAATGTGGTTGTGATTTGGAGGAAGAAGATTCCATGCTGTTGCAGAATATTGACATTGTCCTTTCTAGTTCCAGCTACATTGTGCTGTCCTAGGATAGCCAGCGCTGTAGAGAGGTTGACTTGGCAAGTGACACTGTGTCCAGGCGGGTGGGGAAAGAGTCCAGATGACTGTATGCTTTTAGCAGGTTCTTCACATGGTCTCTTATCTTTCTATACTGTCCCAATTTGGTGGTTGTATCATTGAGTTGAGCACTGTGTGTTCATGTGGGATTTGATTGTAAGCTTCTGAAGTTGGGTTCATTACATCCATCCACTTTCCTCTAGAAAATCGGGGAAAAGGGTGGAGATTATACCCAGACGACGACAACAGACGAACTGAGATGATATGAATAGCTGTAAATGGCAATTGGATGGCCTTTTGCTTTTCCATAATGGGTTCAAAACTTCAAATTGGCTTCCTGTAGGTAGAGCTTGAGGCGTAGCCATCAAGTTGGCTTCCTGTAGACCCTGAGCAGCATAAAGCATTGAAATTGGTGAGTTCATATCTTGTTCTCGCCCCTTAGAGTAGGGTACTTGTGCAGTCATTCGGGACAGCCGTTAAAATTGGAACGATACAGAGAAGATTAGCATCGCCCCTGCACAAGGATGGCACTTGTACATTGAGAAATGGTCCAAAGAGTCAAAGACTCCAAAAAAAAAAAAAAAAAAAAAAAAAAAAAAAGGGAAAGTGAAGGGGGGGGGCTTGCGCAAGGATCACAGCATGCTGACGTGATGTGACGAAGTGACAAAGGCCAGAAAGTTGTGCTTTATTACATAGCCCAAGCACACAGCTTCCAGAATGACAGTTCTCAGGTCCGTACTCTGCTGCATCTTATGGCTGGCTTTGCCCGGCGCGCTTCAGCTAATCCCGGTCTGGCAACGACACTGCTAGACCCTGATGAACCTAGATTACACTGAAAGATTACAATGTACAAAACTTGACGGGTCTTGATCGGCCCATCAACTGTTAACATACAGACCAAGAGTTTGAAATTTGAATTCAGCTGGGACTACGCTGAATGAAATTCTGAACTTACTCAGCGACAGTCAGTTCCATGAGATGAGACGATATCTTTAGAAGGGTGTCCCCCTTCTAAAGAGAACAAAGAAAAAGGGAAAAAGCAATCTTCAATAGCTGCTGACCCCCCCCAAGGGCCTCCAAACGCACCTGTTATGTGAAAAAAAGCTCATTCCAACATGCTGCAGGGACGAGGACCTGGGCTTAGCTCCACTATGCCAAGCTTACCAACCCCCTTGGCATGCCTCCTCTGCTGATCACATCACCCCGATTAGGTCCACCCATAGCATCTAAATCTGCCCATTTTTTTTTCCTGGAAACAGCTCTCCATACTTTGCTGAAAGATCCATATGGAAAACCCCAGTGCCTTGGACCGCCAGTACACGGCCCCAGCCTTGTCGAAGAAAGTCCATTGCCTGCTCTGAAAATTTTGCGGCCCGGGCCTACCGGACGACAATGGCTGGTGGCACCAGCCAAAAGAGAAAAGAAGTGTGCTGCCAGCGGTTCGGCAAAGCTTGGCGCACAGTGAGGTGCGTCCAGGGACTCCAGGCCCAAGTGTACTGGTGGTCTAACCCTGGTGAAGGGCAAACAGAGGTGATCCAGCCCCATACTACCTACCGTCTTCCCCTAAATGGAACACACCATCGTTATTTGGTGCAACTTTCAGAGTGTATTAACACTAAACCCTTATAATCACAGAGTTGCAAAATCAGTGGCCAGATAGACGACTCCTTTTTTCGAAGGAGTCGATCTGGCCGTTGATTCTGCAGTTCTGCGATTAAAAGAGGCCTGGTGTGAATATGCCCTCAGTCTAGCTAGATACCACGATAATTGCGGGAACACGGTAGAGAACATCATGAACTTCAGTTTGTCGTTGATGGGGCCTCTGTCGTTTCAGAATTTTTAGAGGGGCCTATCTAATATCTATAGACTATAGACTATGCCCCTGTGTCCCAAATTTCCTCCCATGGAAGCCCATACGTGCTTGTGGGACAGAATTATCATTGATTGTGGGTTCCCAACTTCCAAGTTTTCTCCCATGGCAGCCCATACGAGCTTGTGGGACGAAATGGATCATTGATTAAATCATCGTGATCATGGTCCGAGAGACCAAATGCGATGAGATGATCCGCTAACATGGAAGACAGAGGAATTGGAATTTTGAATTATTCAATTAGCGGTGCACTCAGCTCTGTTTTCTTGGCCAAACAGATAGCCATGGAGAGTGAGGGATGTACAGAGAACTGGGGCATTCCTTCGTCAAAAATGACATTTTTTGTTCTTTACTCGCACGAAATAAATGTGCCAAATTTCCCATTTAAAAAAAAAAAAAATCAACTATTTGTGCATTTTCTGGACCCGTAGAACCACCGTAACACACCTAGAATGAATGTCATGTTAGGAATGGCAATTCTTTGTCATTATGTCATCATAATAATAAGAATATACAAAAGTAGTACTGAATCACACCTTAGAGTGATGTTTATGCTTGCAGTCTGCTACATATGACTCACTCTAAGGTGTGATTTATTACTGCTTTCCGTATACTTTGTACGGTATAATGACGAAGTAATGTCATTCCTAAAATGGCATTCCTTCTACAGGTGTGTAGCACTATGGGTCCAAAAAATGCATAGAAAACTGGGAAACTTGGGACTTATAATTCTTGTGCAGTTGAACAAAAAAAGTGTCATTTTTAAGTTTTAACTCTTAACGGAGCACTAACCATCAATACGTCTATATTCTCAATGATGTGGTACATCACTTCGATCTGGACCATACCTGACCAGACAATCAAAGAGCTAAACCGAAAAACTAGATCTTATCTATGGTAAGGGGACCCTAACAGAGGCAACTACATACCAAAGATCGCATGGCACTACATCACAAGACAACCGGCTCAGGGTGGCTTTGGGATAATACTATCATAATAGACCCCAGACAGGAAACAAGAGCCCTCCAAGCCAAATGGATAGTCAAACTCCTGACCAGACATTCGCTGGCATGGAACAAGCTGGCGCTTGACAGCATCAGGAGCCTGGCGCCAACATCATCTCCCCCCAATATGTCAGGACAATTCTGGGTGATGAATAAAGACTGGAGTCCTAAAACAGGTAGGAGGAGGTGGAGGAGAGGAGGAATTCCAAGACAGGAACAAGGATCGCTGCCCTACTGGACAGCCCTGTTACGAATCTGGAGGGAAATTATGCCAGGAAAGATAAACAGACCGAGATCAAAGGAAGAAGTACTGAGACAACCGCTCTTTGGAAACCCATGGGTGAAAGACGAAGGGAACCACCCCTGGACGCTCTCCCCGACGGGAAATAAATGGCTAACGTGGATCAAAAATGGGATCTGGAGAGTGAGAGATATATGGAACGAGGAAAGGAGAGACTGGCTAGACGAAGATGAACTTAAACACAGACTAAAAGGCTGTCACCACAGAGATGAAAACCTACGGAAGGTCGTACGGAGCATCCCGGATAGCTGGAAGGATCTACTCAATGAGGACTTCACCTGGAAATCAGGGGAGTGGGGAATCCTAATCCAGGAGAGCACCCCAACGAGAGTGTACCAATTCTCGCATCGACAATCGAGAATAGGGTCGATGTCCATCTTCACATTGTTCCCTATCCAATGGGCAAAACCGGATGAACCCATCATCATCAACACTGACCCACTAACAACAACGCTCCAGGCTTTTACACTTCGCAAGGTGAGAGTACTAGGAATCTGGCCAAAACAGATTTTCCAAATTGGAGTATCGGTCCAAGACCTGGAATTCGACCCGCATGAGTGGGCTTGGCAGCCACAAAGAGACAAGACCAGCAAATCTCCAGTTCCAATCTCGGAATATATGGTCAAACTCGGCTACAGGATGTTATTGAAGACAAAGGACCCGGAACCAGTAATCAAGGACCGATGGCGAAAGTTAATCGGTAGTGAATCAGAACTTATATAACCATAAAACCAATCAAAATCAGAAGCATGCAGTGGCTTATAGCATATACGGCCCTGCCGGTCAATCAAGGGTTGCACTCCAGAAGAAGCAGAAACGATCCAAACTCCTCTGACATCTGCAGGGTCTGCGCAGGCCAGGAACAAGAAGATATACTACACTGCTTAATTAAATGCAATGAAGCCACARAATATTGGGCTAGGGCATCTGACCTTTGGGATAGCCTTTTCATGTCTCCTCTTCCCGAACACCCCCTTCAACTCCTCCTCTGGACTAACCTACCCCTTAATCTGAGCAAACCTGAAAGGATATGGTTTGGAATAATACGCAAGGTCACGCTATGGGCAATTTGGAAAAAGAGATGCAGCAGAACGCTGGAGGGAGCCAAGAATCCACGAGAAATGGTATGGGCGGCCACTAAAGGTATGATCGAGGCTGAGATTCTGTGCCAATGGAAGAAGGTCAAAATCTGGGTGCAGAACAATCCAGAAACAAAATGGGAGGTACTTGCAAAGTTCAAGCACAACTGGCTGGCAGGAGGCAAAGTTGCAGGTTTAAATGAACTCAGTCTGAGGTGGAAAGACTGGCATAACTCAGACGGGGCAACAGGTCGAGAGGTCTCCAGGACACAAGAGGTACCGGCTACTATCTGGGTATAGGTCTCCAGGACACAAGAGATACCGGCTACTATCTGGGTATAGCAGGGCAACCAGGGGAATAACCGAAGAAGACAGCAACAAGGCACACAGGGAAGGAGATTGGCAGGAGAGAGCGGAGAGAATACCGAGAGAACCCATCACAAGAGACGTTGGCGTGTGGACAGGATTGTGCCTCTCTCAAAGTCTTGAGCTTAAAGGATACCAGACAGCTAGGGTATACCCAAGTTGAGAGGACGTTGGGTTAAAAGGCAAGTTGACAGTTAATCCTCCACACAGATGGAGCAATCAATGCTGTGTCCTTCGGCCAGACGGAAGGAAGCGTGCGTATGTATGTTGCTGTATTACCATGACTTGCCGGTGGAAAAGGAACCGGACTGATGCTCCCAGAATAAATATATGGAGCCAGGACCATAAGGCCCTGTTTTTTCTGGGGGGAAAAAAAAAAAAAAAACTTTTAACGAAGTGCCCGTTAGGACTGGTAGGCGAAATTAGCAGAGGGCAACTTAGGCAGGGGTGAGAGGTGGTACATATTTCCTCAGGGAAGTAATCAATGCCGTCTACTCGGGCCTCCCAGCCTTAATGGGGGGGAGCGTGTGTGAGTCTCTTATGTATTCCTAATTGACTTGCTGGGGGAAAGGAACCGGACTGTCGCTCCCCAGAATGGTAGGAGCCAGAGCCAAGACTCTCTGTTATCTGGAAAAAAAAAAAAACAAAAAAAACAAAAAAAAAAAAACGAAGTGCCCGTTAGAGTGCATGACTGTGAGAGGATGCAGCTCGATCAGTCTGCGAGAGAGAGCAGAAGTGCTGTCCCCCTCTTGATCCAATGGTCGACATCGGCCGTGCCAGTCTTGAGATCGACGCTTAGCATGTAGCTGGGGCGCTCTCTGGTGCCCGTCCTCTTCGGGTAGATGTAGAGCGGGCAAGCGTAGGTACCCTTGTGGGCTTTCTTCTTGCTCTCTACCGGCCTGAAATGTATGATAGGCATCTGTACAATGAGCTCCATGGGTTCAGGCTCAGTGAGGTAACCATTCTGGTAATCCCAGCCAGCACCTTCCAAGAACAGTCCCTTGACTAGTACTCCGTCTCTCGGTGGCGCAATTATATCCTTCTCATTGTCGATGATTACCGTGAAGTCCCAAGACAACGTGTCAATAGGAACCACCATTCGTCGCGCCGTTGTCTGTAGGACTGCCGTTAAAAAACCAGTCGGGTAAGTGAACCCGCCTAACCAATAGACTATGGGATACGTCTTCGCGGCCCACTGGTTCAGCTCGATGATTCGTTGAACCAGGTCTCTCATCCATGGGCCCAGTGGTCTAAGAGAGGGGTAACACTTGAGCCACATTGCAGGGACCCTATTATCGTAAAGGGCGGAGAACATGGCTTCCAATTCTGATGACATCAACACAATTCCACGGATGCCTTTCTGAAGCTCCATACAGTCGTGACGGACAGCCAAGAGCAGTGTATTGTACCGTTCGATCTCTTGGAACAAGACCACGTGGAGGGCGGACGGATCATCTTGCTTGTGTCGTTGAATCGCCTCCAGGTTCAGTGGCTCTGGAACCTGCTGAAATAGGTCGGTAATGAGGTTCATGACGACGTCTTCTCTCTGCATGCCACGTGTCCCTGATGCTAGTCGTGGCTGCAGGCTCACGATGCTCTCAAGAACAGTCCTTGTGTCCGCAATCTGAAAGGCAATGTCAGCGTTCGGGTGCTGACCAAATGCCTCAGGTCTATCAACAGTTGGGAGAGAGAGGATATAGTCCCGGTGACTTTGAAGGCCACCGTTGTCGGGAACATAGTAATAGGGGAGCGGGGATAGAGGATAATTAGGAGTGGAGATGGTTTCCTCGCAGTAGAACTGGTTGAGGTAGCTGATGAGAACTCTACGGTCCATCTCATCCGTGACTCGACCACCGTAGTTGGCCTCGGAAATGAGGTACTTGAGGGCAGTGAAGGGTGTTTCCTCGTAGGAATCCAGATAAGACTTCAAAAGGTCGTTGGAGACTTGAAAATCAGTGTCATTGAAGTTGTACTGGACGTTGAAACCGAGCATCCCGAACTTTTTTCTCTCCAGCAAAACACTGTGGAAGTAGCTGAGGGAGAAGAAGAGCTTCTGGTACTTCTGCTGAGCACGGCACTGGTTGAAGTCCTCCTCAGTCGTGGCGTTGTAAAGTCGAAGCAAATTCGCTCGCAGGCCCTTGGGTGGCTCAGTTGTCATCTTGATTCCTCGTTGTAGTATTCCAATGGGGAACTTGGGGTTTGGCGAGCTGGATAGCCATAGCCGAAAGCTGGCATGCGGTTTTCGGGCTTCCAGGCCGTCCACTATCTTGTCCAGCACAGGTAGCCATCCGGTCATCAGGTGGCAGTTTGCCAGGAAAACCCAATTGCCGTCGCGCACGCCATCCTCGATGCACTTCGTAGCGATGGGCGCCTGGCCCTGACCAAGCGCGACTGCGAAAAAACGTTCACTCATGTTCTTTTGTCCAGCTAACTGCTTCAGGCTGCTTGTGGGATCCACACCTGCAGATAAGACGAAAATCAGAGGGGAAGCAGGGACTGAGTCATCATAGGTCTCACCAAGGTCAAGCACCGGTGGCTCCACAAAACGACGTCCTAAACTGTTTGCCACGTAGCCTGTTGAAGCAAATATAACCCGATCCTGTCGTAAGCAGCGCACGAGGATCATCCGCTGGAGCTCGCTGCATTTACTCTCCCATTCGGATGGAAGTTCGGCACCCTCTGGCTCGGATGACCGATACCAGCTCTCCCACAGACCTAAGTTCTGTTCAAAGCTTGAAACGATTCCTTTGAACTGAGGTAGCTTGTCAAGCTCGGTGATGTGGTCCCATGCCTGCTCCGAAATCCAGCTTTTCCCCGGGTTCGGGGACTGAGACGTTCTGTCCAGGACTGTGCCTCCCCGTAGAAAGAACTGCCATTCTTCGCTATTCATCTGATTCCCAGCCTGTAATACTCGTGTGCAAATCTGTAGAGAGAGCAACAGCTTGTGCCGCTCGAATAGGGCACGTGCTGTGTACTTGTACACTGCGTACGTGTGAAAATCATTGAGGCTCTTTATCCTCTCTGCCACACTGTCCGCCTTCGGACTCTTTTGGATTGATATGAGGAAGAGGTCTGTGTACGCATCAAGTGAAAACTGGTACATGGGATCTATTGCAGACAGCTCAATCAGAACGAAAAACAGAATCGATGAACGCACCGCACTTGGCTTGTATGCGGCGCTGGCAATCTCGATCTTTTTTGCCGTGTCTTCCGAGATCTTCAGTGACTCGTTTACCTCCTCCCATGTCGTCTTTGACTTGTCCAGGGTGTCTATAAGCTCCACGTTATCTAAAAGAGACCCCGTGGCAGTGGACAACATCCGCAAAATCTCATCTTCAAGGTGTGCTTGAGTTCTTTTCCCCGTGGCCACCTTAATGACAAGCTCATTTTTCTGCTTGTCTAAGTCGGGCCTCTCCTTCTGAACTACCAGATTCAGCAGCTGCGCCTCCAGTCCTTGTTCTTTCACCGAAAAATTGACAACGGTAGCTTTTGCAGAGACCTCCGGTGTGAAGTGAGGATTGCTTAGCTTTGTCGTAATATAGAGTCGGAAATCTGTATTGTAGTCGATCTCCTTATCGCCAAGTTTTATCAGAATCTGGTTCCCTCTTTTCATGAAGGTCTTACCCAGTATTGGATCTAAAGCAGGATCTATCTCCTCTAGGATGTCCTGGAGAAGGACCGGATTTCCAAACATAATCGCATTTTCCATCGTCCTCAATAGGTCGGACGCCTGCAAATCGACAACCTTGAGACGACGGCTCGCCTCCATGCTCTTCACCCACTTGTTGGCTTGGCCCTGCGGGTCCACCATGAGTGGCCATCTTCGTCCTCGGGTGACAATGACCCCGTTTTCAGTCGAGAAACCATCCGCCGGGAGTCCCTGGATATTCCAGTCCCGCACATCGCTGGCGTTGGCAAGGAAGAATGCAAAATCAAAATCGGCGGAACAGGGAATCGCCAGCTTGCGGACCTGTGAAAGCCAGGTCTGCCGAACTAGCATGTCCCGGTACTCGCTTGGGAATGGGCCCGCATAGGAGAGGAATGCAGATGCGACAAGACAGTCACCAGGAAGCATTCGTAGTTGGTTCTGAAGTCTCTCGATGCTTGTTTGCCACCGTACTTTCTCACCCGCAAGCCCAAAGACCAACTTCTCCGCCCTTTGCAATTTCACCTCCAACTCGTCCAACTCTTGCTGCAGTGCCTCCTTGTTTGCTGTGCTTACATCGTATTTCTCTTTCAGAGCTTGCACTTTGGCCACGACCTCCAAAAGCTGGTTTTTTGCTGCCTGAAGTGCTGCTTGTTTCTTAGCAAGCGTGTCAGTCGCATTCTTAAGCTTTGCCCGCTTCGGGCTGACATCCTTCGCTACATATCCATACACTTCCATTGCCCGGACCCAAAGACATAGTCCTTTCGCGGCCAACGACACCTTTCCCACTGTTTCAGGTGTGAAATCCGGGTTTGATGTATATTTGTTGATTTTCTTGAGCAGGGAGTCCACCAGCAGGTCCTTGTCATATCTGAGCAGTTTCTCTAGAAAGCCTGGGTCGCCCAGTTGCCGCTTCGACTCCTCCCACGTCGTCGGTCTCTTCAGTACAGTCATGACAGCCGCCAACGTCAACTCCACAAGGGCAGGAGGCTTGGGGTATGCTTTGACCTCTGCCAGGTCCTTCTTCGTCAGTACGTTAAGTGCTTCCTCGGCTGCCTGAAGAGCGGGAAGTGCCTTCTCAAGCTCCTTCTGGCATTCCGTCGCAATTTTGTTGCACTCTTCGGTCTCCTTCTCGATCTTGCTGGCCTCAGCATTAACCTGCTTTTCTTGCTCGTCCACAAGCCGTTTCTCCTGCACGATCTCCACGAGGAGCTCTTCGCAGTCCCGTTTTGCCTTCGCGACTACGGCCTTTTTTTCTTGGCACACGATTTGCATACTTGCTACCTGCTGTCGAGTTTCGTCCAACTTCTGCAGCCCTCCCCGGAGCTTGGCAGCATTATCCCCCAGCTCTTTCCTCTTTTCCTTCAGCAATAGGCTATACCCTTTATTGAATTCTAAGTAGTTGCTCGGAGTAACGTAGTTATGGCGCTTCAGTTGAGAGAGCATCGAAGTGGACATTTCAGACACCGACAGGTGAGCAGTGACGAAGACACAGCAGATATTCGCCTTCACCTCTGCGGTTCCCAAGTCTTCCGAATGCATCAACTTGGTGGCCACCTCCAGCAGTGCATCCGAAGGCCACTCTACGAACCAGTCTATTGTGGTGCAGTTCACCAGCCCCGGAAACATTCTCAGCCTGTTCCGGAAAGTTTCGCCGACAGGACTGAGGCATAAGACAATGTGAAGGTTTGTGCGAACCCGTTCGATGAAAAAGCCAAATATGGCATCATTGGTGTCTCCCGCATGTGCCTTTTGGGCTGCAGGGCGGCACTCATCACAGAGCGCTTGTGCCTCCTCTTTGCTGAAGAGATTGGGTACTTCCCCACTGGTAAGGATGTTGTTGATGTCTTCCAAGAAGGTTTCGAGGACTATCTGTGTGTCGTCGAACAGGAACGTTGTGGGCTTGGGGGCGTCGCCACCACCTGCTTGCCGATAAAGATTCTTGAGGTCTTCATGGAACTCGCCAAGGCGGTAGGTCTTAGCAATCTCAATAGAAAATACCTTCTGCTCTGTGACAAAAGCTGAGAGCCTCGCCAAGCTCTTCCGCCCACTGCCGCCAACTCCGGCCAGCAGTGCATTGCCATGGGGCTGTGCCAAAATCCGGTGGATGCGACACACATGCTCCACTGCATCCCGGAAGAGAACGAGGTCCATGGGATGTAGTCCTGGTTCTAGTCCATAGTCTTCTAGCCTCTCTTGAAGGAGCTCCTTGACGGCGATCATGTCCGTAAAGGGCTCGTAGGGAGGATTGTCCATCCCCGGTCGCATAAAGCTTACAAAGACGGGCATGGGGTCGTCGCCGAACAATGTCTTCCAGCTGATGCCAAAGACGGTGGTTAGCCTTTCGTCCAGCAAGTTCTCCAGCCATGCTCTGTCTGCCTTGTCCCACATGCGATCGCCAAATATGCGAAAGCACTCGTGGCACAGCAGTTGAAGCATAGACTCCTTGCTGTCGTAGAAACCCCGTGTTGCCTGCAATATTCCCTGCACAACCTTCCCCAGATCCCTCATATTGAAAACGTAATGGCTCTTGCTTGGTGTGGGCAGCAGCTCCACAGAGACTGTCCTGTACACATCTATGCACGCCTGCGTTAATGCATCTCCCAGAGGCTTGATCTCATCATCGAAGTCCACCAGCTTGGCATTCAGCATGGTCCCAAAGATCCTCTTCAGCTGCGTCTCACTCGGATTGGCCACGTTGATAAGGCTAAAGCAAGCTTGTATTCTCATGCTGAATTGGTTCCTCCCTCCCCCAGGAGGGGCCATGGCTGCCAGCAACTGCATATCTTTGACATGTTTTACCTCCTGCTTCTGCCTGTCGTACCAGAACCCGTTATCTACCCAAAATTTCAGAAGTTCCAACGGCGGCATGAAACCAAACTGGCTCTTCCTTGGCATATTCATGTCATCAATGAAGCACACAAGTCGCTTTCCTCCCGTCGGAGCGAAAACTCCCTTGGTTCGCTTCTCCAGTTTTCCCTCGATCGTTTCCTGCAAAGACTGTGCACTTGTCTGTGCACTGAAGTTGATGATCATTCTGGACCTTCCTTCCGGCAGGGAATAGAGAACGCTCTGGGCGATTATGGTCTTTCCCACGCCAACATTACCAACCACCAAGGTGTGCCTGTTGGACAGCACAAGGGCCCTTACCACGAACTTCGCCCTCACTGTGTCGATTGTTGGCACCCGAATTTTGAAAAAGGGAACATCGGGTGCAGGCTTGTACCCTCCTGATATCTTCTCCTCCCAAGGTGCCCAGGCTTTCTTCTTGGGATCCACAAAGTACTCGTAGACGGTCTCCGTGGGTGGGTACCTGGTATCTTGTTCCCTCAGGAACATGTCCATCTTTTTCCTCCCTTCCTCTCCAGCACTGGCACACAAAGACCATATCAAGCTGAATAAGAAGGTCAACTCCATCATTGCCACATATGTATCTGGGTCGGCGGGATTCACTCCATTTTCCAGAGTGCACAAGGAGTCGAATAACGTGCAAAAGGAGATGACGGCATTTAGGTCGTCGACTCTCACAAGCTCTTGGCACTCCCGGCGCCTGAATTCCTGGGTAGCATCGATGTACTTCTCCGCCATCTTTCCTATGGTCTCGATCAGAAGTTGGTCGGCTCCAGCCGCAGCCTTGTTTCTCAACCAAGACCGTAAGTAAGGCCATGGACCCAAGCTTTCGACGTTCATATAAATCATCCCTGCGCGACTAACGGTGGCTGGTGATGCCTGGGACAAGTCTTCAACCTCGAAGAGAAGGGAAACCTGAGAAGGCATGGAGATTCTTTCTCCACTTAGGAGAGTCAAAATTTTGTTGTCGTCAAGGAGGCTGTTCATGGATTCAATCCAAAACGTGTCGACTGGCCCATCGAACAAGATCCACTTCTGGTCAGGGCTCTCGTCCTTGCACGTCGTTCGCATGATTCGTGCCAGAACACCATCCGTCCACTCGTGGGTAGCCTCGTCAAAAGAGCCATAAAGCTCATCGACGGAAAGAGACAGGGGATTGATAGGATAAACGTGGACACGCTCGAAGTCCTCGACACCCTCTTTCTTCAGACGAGCCATAGCCTTAGACAGGGTCTTCCATCCCTCAGATTTCCCAGCACCTGTTTTGCCAACGATCATGTTCCCGTGTCTTGCAACCTTGCAATCGAAAATTTGAATGATCTTCATTACAAATGGTGGGACCACCTGAAGTCCCGACCCCGACAGCTCCTCCTCTATGGCCTTCTGCAGAGATCCACTCTCAGCCACCGGTATCTCGACACCAGGGAACAGATCCGACAGCAGGGCAGTGAAAAGCGGCATATCGCCAAAAACTAGCTTGGGCATAATCAAGTCCCTCATCGCGCGATAAAGGATCACTTCCTCCGGTTGGTCTGCATCCGCCCTCTTCATCACCCCGGCAGCTCTTGCTATGGGAATGACAAAGGATCGCAGACCGTAATCATAATGGTCTTGCTTGGAGAGTTGCTGCTGTGACAGCTCCATGATGGCTATCATCTTCTTCGACAACACCTTGGCTCCTTGGAAACCCTCACTAAATAACATTATCTCCGCAATCAGCACAAAGTCTGGCACCATCATGGACACCGGCCGCAGCAGCGCTTTCAGATTGTCCGGAAGTTCCGATCTCCCCGCATACCCCGGATTCATCGTAACGAAAATAGCACATGCGGGGTTCAGACGGATATCTTGGCCTTCAAAGATGAACCGCTGTGCACCACTCTTGATGGCAGACATCACAGCCGCGATCTGCGATGCAACCACAGACAAAACCTCCACTTCAATCCGATTAAACTCGTCGAAGCAAGCCCAAGCGCCGGTCTGTGCCAGGCCTGAGAACATTTTGCCCGTCATTTGGTAGTCCACTCCATCGGAGCAGTTGAAGACAATCACGTATCTGGCAAGGGCCTTCCCAAAGTCTTTCACAGTTTCGGTCTTGCCAGTCCCAGCCGGTCCCAGCGGGTTCCCACCTCGCCGAGTGAACATGGCCGCACCAAGGGTCATGTAGCAACGATCCGTCAGCGGGGTAATCACCAGCCTCCCATTGTTGCCTTGGTATTCATATCCATACCAGAAGACAGAGAGCACCTGTTTGATGATACATTCCCCCGCTTCACGATCCCAGTAGAAGCGGAGCTGGCTGCTCCACTCAAAGTCGTTGACACTCTTGCAGCCCGACTTCGCAAGCTTGTCAATCACGTCCCTTGCGTGTACCTCGATTGTGATAAGCGCGACCGTTTTCAGTCGATCGATCTTGGACAAACGAGACCTTGTTACTGCGGTAAGTTTGTTGAGGTAGCTAATCCATCTCTTCTTGAGTTTTCTCAAAGCAGTTTTGGAAGTTTCGGGGACAAACAAGGCACGCTCGCACTCGTTTGTCCAGATAATTTGCCCTGCGGTAATGACGCACTGGCCAGGGTAGTCCTTCAACCACTTCTCCTTTTTCATGCCCTTACTCTCCTCCAGCGTCTTAAGCAGGTGCCGCTTGGTTGTTGAAAACATTGCTGCCTCCACCTTGTTCAGCCATTCCTCAGGCCTCCCCTCTGTCAACACCGATGCGCCGAAAGGCAGGTATTCCCCGTCCGCAGAGAAAATCCCCGTCGATTCATAATGCTTACGCCCTTCTCCGGGGATGTGCATTTCCAGCTTCTTGATACCCTCAAAGCATTTCTTCAGATGCGGCTGCACATTCAACGGATCTCTCGCCTGGCCTAGAATCTCCAGCAGGTCGTCGCTCGACAGGAAGTAGAACCTAGGGAACTGTTGTCGTTTCTTCTCAAGGTAATTCTCCAGCGATTTCTGTATCTTCTCCAGTTTCGATTCCATTTCGAGGAATGTGTCAAGCAACCCTGGCACATGCGTTCCCTTGATCACGTTCTTGCTCTCATATAGGGTGTTCATAGAGGCTATGAAACTCGCATTCACGGAATCGAACATGGTAGACTCCGCAGGCAATTGCTTCCGTATGTCCTCGGAGCCAATGAATATGTTCTCCAAGTACATCCACTGTCTTTGCACCTGAAGAACAACTTCGATCATTTCTGACACCAACGAGAGGCTTTGCTCCCAATGATTAATGTCTTTCTCAAAGACTGTGTAGTATCTGCTTGCCTTGATCGTTGAAAGGGTAACTGTGTTGTCCTCCAATGCTGCAAATATTTCATCTGTGCTACGCAGCTTATAAACTCCCTTGTGAGTCTCTTTATAGGGGACCATGTCGAGCGTTAGTTCTTTCCACGTCTCTCCGAGAGTCTCAATGCTCAGCTCTATGGCCAGCTCCTTACTTGCATTGGCACTCAAGTCACCGATAGCCTCTGCATACTTGTCGAACCTCAGCTCCGTCACTTTGGCCAGTGTGAACTCGTCGCTGTTCGGATCGAATGTGGTCCCCATGTGCTCCTGTAGCTGTACCCAATGACGGGGTCTCATGGCTGGGTTACGAAGATCGATTACCAAGGGCAGTGTCCGCTTGAATGCGTCCAGATTATCACGCATATCTGACCAGACAGCCCAGGCTTTCACATCCCTTCCAAGCTTCGTCACACGCTTCGAAAGCTGCTGGGCAACGGACTCCATATCCGCTACTTGCAGGTTGCGGAAGAGGCCTCCTTTCCATCCATCGTATGCATTCTCCCAATCTTTCTTCAACTGCCACATTGCCTCCAGCAAGTCCAAATCCTTGGCCGTTGCGATCGATTCTTTATATCCTGGCTGCGCCATGTCGAATATGTTTAGCCCCTGGTTCAGATCCTGCTCCTTTTTCCGATTTGCATCCAGCTTTGTCCGCTCCTCGGCAACAAAAGCGAGCGCTGCCTCCGTGCTCGTCTCCGAAGTAAGTGGCATGCGGGCCAGGAAATCTTGTCGCTGCTCTGCGACCTCCTTGACAAATGTATCCACCAGTTTTATAAGTTTCTCTCGGAAGTTCTCTTTTGCTGCTTCGAGCTCCTTCTCTCTCGTGCTCAGTAATACTGTGAATGCTGCCCACTCAGCCGAAAGACCAGAGAGCATTTCCTGTTCCTGCTCGGGAACAGGCACCTCGAATGCTTCCAAAGTTTTGTACTTCTCGTCAAGGGGCTCCAACCGCGCTTCGATCGTTGGCTGCTCCTGCTTGAGCCGTTTCCAGAGATTTACGGCATCCGCTAGCATGTCGAGGTTGAGCACAGCTGACTGCATATGTTGTGTATTGCTGCTAATGTAGCTCTTTATCGACTCGAGCTCCGTTTTGGCAAGGGTGTTGAGCAGCGTCGTGAACTTGGACACCCATGCTTCACAATGTGCCCAGATGGCTTGCTTCAAAGGTCCACAGTCGATCCTTAAGAACCGCATGTTGGTGCTCGTGTCCTCGGCCTCGATCTCCTCTTGAAGCTCCTTATACTTCATGATGTCACCCTCGAATGCGGACAGCGTCTTCTTTGCCCTCTCGTACCGTCTAATGTACGCTTCCTTGTCTTGGTCCCAAATGTGCTTGTATTTCTTCTCCCAGTAGTATAGGAACTGTTGCACTTTTTCCAAGAGGCCAGATATGCCGCTGGTAATAGTGGTAATCATTTTCACAGAGGAGTCTTCGTCTGCAGATATCATTTCGTAGTAGGTGGGTAAGTTAGTTGGGCCCTTTGGTGGCCCGCCGGACCCTGACTCTACCATGTTTGGAACTCCTCCTTCTGGTTCTTCTTCTAGCAATGAGGAGTAAGTGATTGTAAGAAGTTCTGGAAGCATCAGATCTGCGGGAGCTGATCGAGGAGGTCTGGGTGCCTCCACCAATCGAGGCATGGCCTTCACAACGGTGATGAGCTCGCTGCAGACTGTCTTCATCATTCCCACTAGCTCCCTCACTGACGGCTTTAACTCCACACGGTTTGTTTCCTTGTCGAGTATAACGCCCGTGTTGAAGATGGGAATAACTTCTGTCCTTGCATCGCCATTCAGTGCACGCGATAACTCTTGCAAGGATTTCTTTACCGTCTGACGCAGTGCATCCTCCATTTTTCGGTCAATCTTCGTCGAGTATCTGGCCCATTCCCTTTGCACATCATCTCCGTCAAAAGCGAAAATTTCGTATGCCCCTTCCATTGTCTTCTTGAGCTCTGAGTATGCTTGATCAAACTTTGATCTGACCACCTCTCGATGCTCTGCCTGCTTTTCTTCAAACTCCCAGGTTTCATAAACCTTCTTCTTTTCCATGATTATAAGCAGAGTCCCACCTAGGCGCTTGCATATGCCAAGGACCTTCTCATGAGCCATCTTGAAGTCGGAGACGGTCCCTTGAACTTCCCGGCAGAACTTCCGCGCCTCCTTCACAAAATAGTCCAAATGGTGCTTGCTCGAAACCCAGTTAAGCCTGTGAAGCCCTGGATGGATCTTCTTATCCAAGTACCTGATTCTGTCAGAGAACAGTTGTCTCTCTGCTGGTTCAAGAGAACGCAGTATCTTGTTGTAATCGCGGGCAACCATCAGAACATGTTCTTGCATGACCCTTAACTTCTCTTTGTGTGCACAGATCTCGACGGCCAAAACAGGGATCTCGAAACCAAGCCGCTCCCAGTAGTGGGCCTCATGAAAGAGGGACAGCAGTTGCCTATCGAAGTTAACGGCCAAGGTCCCGTCATGGTCGAGCACCATGAGGCTGTTCTCCAAGAGCTTGGGCATAGACTGCTCAATGGAGGTAAACCATTCGACATGCTGATTCCTAATGTACTGTTCGATGGCGGAAGTTATCTGAACATGCTGCAGCTGCAACTCATCGAGCTCCGCCACGTGAGGTAGGAAACCGAGGCAGCTATTCAACCAGTTCATAGGTCTGTCGATTCTAAGCCGTAAACCCTGGGCCCACAAAGCTCCCCCAGCACCTTTTGGAAACGTAGAATTGATGACCGGCTTTCGTCGCATCTGATCAAAATGCTTCTTTGCCCCATTCAGCTCACCCAGAAATGTGGTTAGCACGTCCGCAGTGACCTTCTCAAGGCACCTCTTTATGGTCTCCCTGTAGGCCATCGATTGGAAGGCATCCAACAGCTCAAGGCTGTTCGCAACGTTCGCCACCGACTCGAATGCCAGTGTTATCACGTTTTGCATCATCACCTCTAGATCCTTTACCCCATTCTTGAACCGCGTGTAGTCATCATGCCACATCGTGCTCTTGACGTCAAGAATGCTGTAGCTCAAATTCTGAAGCCCGAATGCTAGCCGTTGAAATGCAGCTTGGATATCTGAGAGGCTCTTTGTGATCTCCGGGCCCCGCGTTCCACCAAAGCATGGCAGGTCCTTTTTTAGAGCAAATTGCTCTTGGGAGTCGCAGACCTCGAGAAGATCTCGACACCGTTGGACAAAGGCATCAATGTGAGCAAACACACTGCTCGTATCAAAATCCCATAGTCTAAGTGAAGGCACACTCCCTGGACCGGATTTCACACCCGCTTGTGCACCACTTTTGCTTCCACTCCCTGCTCGGTTTTGCGCATCATCGTAGCTTGAGTCGACGGGGCCCACTGCTCGGCCCCCTACTGCTGGATCTCCTCCCCCTCCTGCTGCTGCTCCTGGCCGCGGTTTGTTCCCATTTTGCGTGCCAACATTTGGGGTTGCAGATGGGTTGCTGGTTTCCAGAACATTCGTTGGATGACCAGGTGCAGCGATGTTGGTTATGTTTTTGAGGGTTGCTGCGGTGGTGGAGATGGATCCTCGGCCAGGGCCAGCAGTAGACGACGAAGAGGCAAAAGATGCAACCTGATCAGCTGTCATTTTGTAAGCTCGTTTCCAAGCCTCACCAGCCTTCATACTCTCCCGTAGGGCCTCTCGACACCTCTCCACATCACCATCAAAGATCTCCTTCACGGAAATTTTGGCACGACAACGGCTGATGATCTCGTTGCTCACCTTTCGCAGAAGCCCTGTGATCCTTTCTGGAGTGTTGTAGAACTGGCTTATGTTCCAAATCAGTCTAATGCAATGCAGTATTTTCACAAGGACGTTCGGAATAACCTTGGGCTCTGCCACGGCCAACGCTTGACAAGGTTCTTCAAATATGGACAGGAATTTGAGGTTGTCCTCAGCAGCCATAGCTTCTCTCTGAATCAAGTTGGAGAGATTCAAAAATGGTGCCAAGTAGGAAGATTTGGCCTTCTCCAAAATCCCCACTATCCGGCCGATGCTGGGATCGTTGAGCTGTTCCCGAATCCCACTAAGGTCCACGCTTCGACTGCGCCAAAACTCAATTTCCGCAAGCGGCCCTGCCTCTTCTCCAAGCTCCGCATTATCTTGGTTATTCACCACCTCTTTGATTTGTCTGGTCCAGTGGATCAGTGCCGACTCAAGACGTTGGACAAGATCCTTGTCCTTCTTTAACCTTGATTCCGTCATGCTCTCGAGGTCCTCCTGAGGGATGTACAGCACAGTTTTCCCTTTCACATGATACGTACACTCCGTCAGGCTCGCCATGAACCGATGCAGCTGACCCATAAACTCCTTCTTGGCGTTATCTGGCCAAGCTTGGTTGTTCACAACCTCTGGCACAAAAACACCCTGCATGAAGCGCTGCATGCTGTCGAGGGGGTGGCCTTTAATGGTGGCACAGTTCACAAGACCATCCACGTTGTCGATGGTCACAGCTCTGTGAGGGTCCCGGATGAAGAATAACACCTCTTTGGGCCCGGAGGGAGGTGGACCTTTCTGACAGCGCAACGTCGAAGTCGAAGTCGAAGTCGAAGTCAAAGTCGAAGTCGAAGTCAAAGTCAAAGTCGAAGTCGAAGTCGAAGTCGAAGTCAAAGTCGAAGCCAAAGTCGAAGTCAAAGTCGAAGCCAAAGTCGAAGTCGACGTCGAAGTCGATGTGGAGGAGGTAGACGATTCCACATACACAAACAATGTGCCATGCTCCGTGCTTGTCAAGAAATCCCTTGCAACGGGGCCATGCTCTGACTCATTCCACAGGTCAGGTTTTGCTATCATGAAGATTCTGCTTTTCACCCACTCGACACACTGTCGCAGAGCCGTTTCCACTGGGTCTTCTGGTGGTGGGGGAGTACTGACTTCATCACCCTCAGCGGCATCCAAGGCAGTCGCATCTTCTGCACCAGATGGCTGGGGTACCTTAGGTTCACCTGGCTCTGACAAGGATGTCCTACTAGCATCAGCACCTGGGTTACCAGGGGCACCTGGGTCGATACCAGCACTTGGAACAGTTGAAGGGTCAGTGGCGGCAGCGCCAGGAACAGAGGGATCTTGAGTGATTGCAGGAAGGACATCATTGGGTCCTGGTTCGTCCGTGTCTACCGGGGAGACCAGTGCTGCAGGCGTGGGCACACCAGCCGGTGCACCCTCCATCAGGTTGGTAGAGCGGAACACTTCAACAAACGTTTTTGTTTTGTTCGGCTTTTAAAAGGCAGTAGCCTCTAACATCATTGTATCGCTCGGATCCTGCCTGCAATTGTTCATGATCTGTTTACTATCAGTTACATGTGTATACCACTCAGCCACATGGGTTGGGTCAGTTTGATCATCTTCCGAGCAAGGAACGGACCAAAAGTGGGAGAGCCAAATCTTTTTGTAATAGGTCGTAGCCCCTACAATTCACTGTATCCAGCAGGGTTTGAATGCTTGATCAGTTTATCAAACCGCCAGTGGACCTAAGCCTTGTTTTCAACATGGACTTTCACCTGGCCATGAGCAATCCGACCTGTTGTCACACACGATTTGCCTGGCGCCTCCGACTTTTTCCAAAGCAGACACCAAGCCTTTCCGCAGTCCCGCCTTAAGCCGCCAGCTCACCCGAGGCAGAAAAGGGCTCTTAAATTTGGGCTTGGGCCGGTAGTGAATGCAGCAGGTCACTTTGAAAACGCGCAGTGTCAGGCTCGCAAGCCTTGGAAGGTAGCTTCATCAACTTAGGCTCACGTGAGCTGGTGGTTTAACTGGAAAGAATTTTCCAAATGGATGGGCTGTCCACTGGTGGTTCAAAACAGTTACAGGCGTCTACCATCCGGATATGCGCCACGTAGCAGCCAAAGAATCTATGCGGCTGCTCCTCTCTCGAAAGAAATGTATCCTCATCCTTTGGGACATCACAGCCATTAAAATAAGAAGAATACAGATCAGAAGAATAACATGGCCTCTGCACAAGGATGACATTCACAGATTAAGAACTGGTCATTAAAAGATGAAGACGAAGGAGGAGGAGAAGAAGAAGACGGCGAAGGAAAAGAAGAAGAAGAAGACTCGGAAGAAGAAGAAGGGGGAAGAAGAATGGAGCAAAGACAGCAGCTTGTTGTCCCAAGAAGAAAACAAACAGAAAAAAAAAAAGTCATTCCATAAATGTCGGATTTGTGCTGTCCTTGGGGACATTCGTTAAAATTGGAATGATACAGAGAAGATTAGCATGGCCCATTGGCCCCTAAAAAAAACTTTCTTTTTTTTTTTTTTGAAGGATTTGTGGGCTTCAAGGCATCCATTGAAGTTGCGAGTAGTATTCGCCCCTGCATATTGATATAGCAAATCTCCTCACGGCGCTCACGTGTTTTTCAAACTTTTTGATCCGCATTCCCAACAACCAATTCAACTATTTTGGATCTCAGAAAAGAGTCTTCGATCACTGGGAGTTCATAGTGTGCAGACATAAATCCTGGCACAGACCAGGAATAGGGTGCAGGCCTGAACAAGAAGCCGAACCAAGCTGCAGACCAGGACCATTGCGCAGACTTTGCAGACCAGGATAAGGGTGCAGACCAGGACCAGAGTGGAGAGTCTGCAGACCAGGACCAGGGTGACAGTCTGCAGACCAGGACCAAGGTGCACAGTCTCAAGACCAGAACAGACTAGGGGCAGAGCTGGGTCAGGATGGAGAGTCTGCAGACCAGGAGCAGTGCACAGGGTGCCGACCTGGGTGCAGACCAGGAGCAGTGCACAGGGTGCCGACCTGGGTGCAGACCAGGACCAGGATGCGGAGTCTCCAGATCAGGGGGCAGACCAGGATCGGGGTGAATTCTGCAGACCAGGATGCAAATCAGGATCGGGATGAAGAGTCTGCAGACCAGGACCAGTGTGCAGACCAGGAACAGGGTGCAGACGAAGAAGAAGAAGAAGAAGAAGAAGAAGAAGAAGAAGAAGAAGAAGAAGAAGAAGAAGAAGAAGRAGGAGGAGGAGGAGGRGGRGGAGGAGGAGGAGGAGGAGGAGGAGGAGGAGGAGGATGTGCGTGTGCGTGTGCATGTGTGTGTGCGTGCGCATGTGCGTGTGCGTGTGCATGTGCGTGTGCGTGTGTGTGTGAATGTGCGTGTGCATGTGCGTGTGCGTGTGCGTGTGCGTGTGCGTGTGCGTGTCAGTGTGTGTGTGTGCGTGTGTGTGCATGTGCGTGTGCCTGTTTGAGTGCGCATCTGCCTGAGTGTGTTTGTGGTCCACCAGGGCACTTGTTTGTTTGGGAGTCCCCCGGGGCCGGTACTTACCTGTGGCCGTGACTTTGAGGGTTGCACCGGGAAAAAACACTCAAGTAGCCGAAGGGGTAGCTTAGGGCACACTCAAGTAGTGGTAGGTAGTACCAGTAGTACTTGAGTAGCGGTAGGCTGAGCAGAAGAAGACGAAAAGTTAGTGCCGTTAAGAGTAGCAGTCCGGTAGTGTAGAGTCGAGGGCCTGTAGCGGTGGATATCAGGTCTGCAATGATGTTTCCCTCCGATACGGAGGAGGCACCGGTGCCTTGGGAGGCCGAGCGGCCTGGAATTCACCGCCTAAAGGGCAAGTTGCCCGTTATATCTCTGGGAAGAGCGAGTTGCTGTGTCTCATTTGCTGCATGCAAGTTTGGGCATCACGCTGTTGGAGCGCTTGGAGGAGAAGCACTGTGTGGAGCGCTGGGGAGGAGGAGCGCCCGGACTTCCAGCTTCAGTTGCATTGATTTGCATTGTCTTTCTTTGAGTTTTTGTGCTGAAAGGTAGCCAGAATGGATTTTTTTTCTTCTTCTTCTTCTTCTTCTTCTTCTGCTGCTGCTGCTGCTGCTGCTGCTGGAGACCTCGTTGTCCCTGTTTGCATGCTGTTTTTCACATTATGCTTTTTTTTTTCCCCACCAGTTTATTGGAGGGGAGCTCCATCTGCTGGGAACTAGACCCCGTATCTCATGAATTTCACAAATAAGAAATCACCAAATCTCATCCTGTGACACTGCACAATTTTATTTTTTTTCTTGTGTATGCAGGGGCCATGCTGATCTTCTCGGTATCGTTCAAAATTTAACGGATGTCCCGAAGGACAATTTGGTGTTGGAATGATTGACGGGGGTCGGTGAACTCAAAAGTTAAAAAGAAAGAAATCACCAAATCTCAGGCAAAGCCCTTGTGGCACGCATGGGCCTCCCACACGGGCCCTGAGACCTCAGGCTTGGATCAGACAGAGGCCCCCAGACCGTTTGACCCTCATTTTGGGTGCCCTTGGGGGCTGATCTATAGTTTCTGGTCCTTGTATGTGCTTTTGAGCAGCTTAGTTTTCTTTTTCTTAACAGGTCAAGGCCGGGGCCCTCACAATTCAACCCGGAGTTATCCTTGGATCTTTACCCGGTTTAGCTTACGAGCGACCGCTCGCTCCTGACTCTAGTATGTCCTTTCCTTCCCTGGAACCCCCGAAACCTTCGACTTCTCACCATCCTACCTTTCACTATTTGATCCTGTCTGCACTCTGCATCTGAAAACCCTACTTTTCTACATCTATCTCCTCACCCTAGCTGAACACGAGAACCTGGGACTTAACTGTAGAAAAGCCAACAAAAGGCAGCGACCTCGCAGGACAAGAACAAAAATTAAGACCAATGGGAACTCACACCATACATGGTCACCGATTTCCTTTTCATGTGATGATACTAACGACGTGTTGTTTTATTTGATGAATGTACTCAACCAGTTGAAATGGAAACAACGCCCGACGAAAATTAGGAGCCATGGAGGAAGGCGATGGCTTACTCCTTGGAGACTAATCAGACTCGTGTACGGCAAATCAAAGATTAAAAGCAATGAGGGGATGGTTGTACTAAGAGATTTGAAAGATTCGTTTGAAAATGGAGGTGAATGTGTGATAACCCGTCCAAACACGGACTGAAACACACAGCTGATTTCTGAGTTTTGCTCATAGACTGAATGCCCTACTGAGTTCCCCGCCTGCTAAGTCTGTGTGTGTGTGTGCTTGCTGGACTGCATGTC